ACATAACCCATAAAACTACTTAACTACATGGTGGCTAACGCTAAAACAACTGCGGAGCTGGGCATACAATGCTCCAGTTATATTGCCACACCATACCCCCCCACTGAGTAACTAGCATATGCATGCCAATACGTGGCAGTAAATAGCAGTATACGTGCTAACACACAAGTCATACGATCTCTCTATAGACACAACATTTCTGTGAAGATAACGAGCTGCATCCTTTCCCATGAGAAAATCCTAACATATTCATGCCTTGGTTACTTCCTGTCTTGATTACTGCGATGCATTTATTTTGTTAATAATAGCATTATTAAAGTTTGCAAATACAAAGATAAAAAAACTAATACAAACTAAGAAGAATATAAAAAAGAAAAAAGAAAAAGTGCAGAGAAAAAAGAAAAAATAATAATTAAAAAAAAGATATAAAGAAATGACTTTCCCCTCCATCAAGATAAGTATAAACAACTTCAGTAACTTATCACCTTCTCTAATATTTCAGCAAAAGATCTTTCCTCCCCATATCTCATCTCTTATCAATAAACAAATTATAAAGCCTTGTCATTTGGTCCTAATCAGCAAAAGTCCATTAAGAGTTACCAGAAATAATAAAACATATATTTTAACCTTAATCAAATAAATCAAGTTTATAATCCTTTACTTTTAAGATGGTAATTTATCACTTTCTCTAAAAATATAGTGAAAAAAAGAAAGAAAGGAAAGAAAGAAAGAAAAAAGAAAAAAACCCCTTCTTTTTCCCATATCTTATCTCTTGTCTATAAACAAATCTTTAAAGCTTCATCATTCAGTCCTAGTCAAAAAAAGGTCCATTAAGAGCTACCAGAAATAACAACATATATATTTTAACCTTGATCAAATAAACCCACGTCTATAAACAAATCTTTAAAGCTTAATCATTCAGTCCTAGTAAAAAAAAGGTCCATTAAGAGCTACCAGAAATAACAACATATATATTTTAACCTTGATCTAATAAACCCACGTATATTCCTTTCATTTACTCTTAAGAATCTTGATCTTTAATCCCTTCAAATAGTGTCCCAGAAGTTGATTTCTTATCATTTTCTTTTTGTCTCCTCTCAGAAACTGATTCACAAGTTTAAGAAGTCTCTTTTGTAAATCCAGGATAAGAAAGATTAAGACATCAGCCAATTTCATTTGTGAATCCAGTGTGACATCATTTTCTATATCATTCTTATAGCCTGACACTTTTAAATCTATTTTCACATTCACATTCAAATCATCCTCAGTCTCTGCTTTATCCTGTAAAATCTGCTCCTCTTCCATAACTTTATAATAGCAGACATTCTTAAGAGTAATTTCTGAGTGCACTGTTCCCAAATATCCTTGAATTCTTCCACAGTCAAATAATATTGCTCCAGCCTATATTTCTCTTCTCCTTTATTTATAATCTTTAGTTCTCTCTGGTTTCCTCTAGTCAACCTTCAAAGTCTCATCATGGTTTGTTTTTTTTTCCTAATCAACACTTTCCCATGGGAAAATTTCTTACAGTTAATTTCAAAATCTTCGTGTATATAGATTTGTAAAATTTTAAACAACCCACAGGGAATATTCTTACAATTAATTTCAAAAACTTATTTCAAATCTATCTAGCCCCTTAATCCATTTGTAACGTTCTAAAATCAACATCTAGTCATCCTTTTGCTATTTATTCAAAAATAAAAATTAAAAAATTAAAGTCCTTAAATTTGCATAAAACTTCTTTTGTCAAGGATAGAAGGAAACTCATCCAGTGTAATAAAACTTGCACTTCGGAAGGTTCTTAACATCCAAAAAGCCATTAACAAGCAATTTCCTAAAGTGGTTAAGAAAAGAAGTGGGCGAACGTAGTGTCCGTTTAAAGGCACCGAACCGCGGCTTAGGCAAGATGACTTTCCCCCAGCTCCCAGAGCTCTAAAACCCACCAGAGACTGCTGTCTTATGGTCTTCTTGCAGGAAGCCACTGTATGGAGTGCTTGTGGGTGATCTCAAGTCCTCTCCTTGCTCCGGAGAGGAATTCATTTACCGGTTCTCCTTCCTCCATGGTTGTTGGCTCCACTTTCACATTCCACTTAGGCTCCAATGCATTTTAGAGAGGCTACTTTGAAAAATATTTTGAAATTGCAACTGGTGAAAAGTGCAACAGTTAGATAAGATTAATATAGACACTCTGTCAGGCCAATCCAAGAACAGCAAGGAAACAGTTCATCCAAATGCAGTTCTTTTACTGCTTATATCATATGGACAGAATCTTGCCAAACTAAATCTATACTACGACAACTAGTGAATATACCCTGGGAGATTTTAAGGAGTAGCTATCCTTAACTTCTTACGATTCCCATGCTCCAACTCCAGACTGTGTTGTCTTTTGTCTCCCCACCCTTCCTGGTAGCCTTGCTCTCTACTGTAATCCACCACATACTCCTTGTTTAGCGACTACCTTGGTTAGTGACCATTTGCAAATACGACAGTAATAAACAGTAATAAAAAATTCATTTTCCAACCAATGCATGTACTTATGACCAAATTTCGTGCAACTGACAACAATGCATGCTGGAGTGAGAATAACACTAGTGTAGCTATATGAAATAACTTTATCTGAATGAGATGGCAGCAACCAGTGGTCTTTGCAGTCTCTCTCTCTCTCTCCTGTCTCTCTCAATCATGTGTTCACTCAGCGACCATTTGCAATGGAACTCAGTTGCTAAACAAAGAGTGTAATTGCAAGAAACAGTGATCTTGTGATGCCTATACTGAAAGATTAGCACTGAGCACAATTTAAGGTGTGGGTATAGACCTTTAAAGTTTTAAAATGGCTTGGGCCTGAGAGGGAAGATCTCTCCTGATATAAACCTGTCCAGGTGTTAAGAGTAAAGATTACTCTGCAGGAAAGGTTTTTCTGAAGAGCATCAGAGGCCCACCTATCTGACAAGCAGGAGAGAGCCTTTTCCAATGTTGGTCCTGGGCTATAAAATGCATGCTCAGTGTTGTGTCCACACTTTTTGCCAGGCTTTCAGTTGTAAATTGATTGGTATTGGTTTTACGTTTTTAGTACACATGGATGTACTATAAGTACATTTAATTTTGTTTTTTTGTTTTTTTTCCTCCAGGAACCAACTGGGTTGGCCAGATTGTTACTGATTTAGTAATAACATCTGCAAAGAAACATGAACCACACAAGTTGAATGAAAAACTTCTACTAGCAGAATTTCCCTATCTTGAAATAGGAGATCCTGAAAAGTATAAGGTTAGCATTATTTATGCAGACAGAAAGACACCTCCCACCAATGCTGGTAAATTTCATCAGCCCATATGGTGAAAACAGCAATAGAGACAGAGTATCTAGAGTATTTTTGCAGGGCCTTTCCAGGACTTTGCCTTCAGAGAGGTAAAGTTAGACAGTCAGCTATTTCCATTACATGTCTGACTCTGCATGACTCAGTCTTTGAGGAGCTAAAACTGACCTTCTGGGCATTGATACATTAACTACTACAATGACTTATTAAGTGTGTTGCCCTCAGTGCCAGAATTCAATGGGAAAACCTTGAAATTTGCGTATTTGAATTGTCTGGTTATTAATATACATGATCCTATTAGCCCTTCTATTTTACTTGTTTATTAAAATAAACAAAAGCAATTATTTGAAAGAGCATGTATAGAAATATTTTTCAATAAATCTTTTATATGCACAGATCTATATTTTCTGATTAGCCACATCATTGAATGCCATAATGCTAGGCAGCCAATCCAGTGTAGCTGAAAACAGCATTAGTGAACATAGCCAGTTGAAAGTCCAATGTTCCCTGTCCCAATTTCCTCCTGTCAGCCCTTCAAGGTAGATCAAAGTCATGTAAGTCAGGGCTACTTTTATTTTAAAGCTATAGTAACAGAATCCTGCAAGTCTGAACGTGCTTCCACCCTCCCTCCCTTTATCTTCATACAAACTAGGGAGGGTCTAGTTTGACATGTTTACTCAGGTTACATTCCTGCCCTGGACTCAGCCCTCTTTTATCTGACCATTGCCTTGGTAGTGGCTCTTCCTTCTCTCCTGCAATGCCATTCCCTCTTTCCTCTACACCTCCTTTTCATTCAAAGAAGGCAAAATGAAAAGGATTCTGTTTACTGGTGAAATGACTTCCAGGTAAAACTATGTGAGCAAATGACATTCCATCAATAAATAGTAATGGCAAATCTCCATGCTATGGGTTACATTTACTTAGATTTTCCCCCCTGCAGAACCAGAGGTGAATTTTGAGCCTAACAAACTTATTTCCAAGCAGCTTCTTATTTTATGGTTGCATGATGGGGGAGAGTAGAGGGAAAGTACTAACATAACATTTGTGACTTTGAGGGGAGAAAATATGGAAACTATCACTAGAAACTACCCAAAGTTTCTCAGACGTAATCCATGCTAAAGAAGAATGAAAAATATCTCAGGCACTACAGGTTCTGCCTGGGAAACTTTCAGATTAACCTTAATTTCAACCTCTTAAATTATAGCTTTAATTTAAAGAGCCTTCATGAGTTATTCAAAGCCTGAATTGTCCAATCACTGCCACCACTGGCAAACAGTACGTGGGACATTTAGATCTATGAATAAGAATGAATGCTATTTTTTCTTTCCTTTTGCTTTTAAGTGATGTATTTGTTTTCTGTTTCATACTTATTTATTTTGCCTCCGGAAGAGGATGCATACTTATCCCTCCAGGAGAGTGATGTTTACTCATCTCCGTCCTGATAAATTTCCACCATCTATTTTCAAGAACAAAGCCAAAGTAAGGAGCCCATTTAATGTCCTAAAATTATAACAACCTTGATAAAATTCAACTGACACTTCTATATGGATAAAATCAGCCTTGAACAATAAAACGCATTAAGGACAAGATAAGCAAGAGCATGCTTAATATAATAATCATTATGTAACAACACAAACTGATTACTGGGTAGTAAATATGCATTGACATAAGCTATTTATTGATGAGTCATCATCTGAATTTGGATACTTATAATGACTGCAATGCAACTTAATTGCACCTGCAGTGTTTGGATGTTTCCAAACTGAAGCTCTGTCCTTTAGTAGTTCAGAAGCATCGTTTTTGGACGTAGCTGTAAATAGAATTGAAATGGAGGTTCCATACTAATCCAGAGAGCCAGTTTGGTGAAGTGGTTAAGGCATCAGGCTAGAAACCAGGAGACTGTGATTTCTAGTCCCACCTGAGGCACAAAGCCAGCTGGGTAATCTTGGGCCAGTCACTGTCTCTCACCCCTAGGAAGAAGGCAATGGCAAGCTACTTCCAAAATCTTGCCAAGAAAACTGCAGGACTAGTGCAGGCAGTCTCCAGGAGTCAACAATGATTCGAAGGGACAACACCCCACCCCAAATCTGGCAATATATTGCCTTACTAGGCCATTCTGTTCCCTAAGAACCTTGCATTAATTTTTACTCAAAGGTATGCAGCACAGGCTATTTTCAGTCCTTATGGATTGTTAATCCTGTTTGCATATCTTGCCCATTTTATTTCTTACAGTTGATCATGGCTGCAAATTAGTGATGGCTTTCTCTTAATTTCCCTCATTTCTCATTTTTTGCTCCTTTATGGTAAGGACATTGCCATCTTTGTTTTCATGTTTTGTTTTTCATGTTGATATTTTTTTCTAAATGAAAAATCAAAAAGAAAAATCAACAAATGGAATTTATTTTTCCATGATAGGAGCTAGCATTGAGCCAGTTAAGAGAAGCTATTCAGTTTGTAATTACAAGGATGTTTAGTTTTTCCAAAAGAGAAAGCAATCAAATAGGCAGGACCTACTATGAGGAAACTTTCAGTTAAAGGCACAAGGGACCTGACACATCTCAGCAGCCGTCAATGCATACTGGAGAGGTTGGTGCTCCAATTGCCAAAGGTACCATAAAGGATATAGGAAGAAAATCACCTTAGATTAAGTTTGAATAAAAAGGGGAGAACAACTTAGGATCTTGGAGTGTGATGCTTGTTGGAAATTGAAGGGTTTTCTCTGTGTATAAATCCTTAACTCTCTAGCTACAGCCTATGCCCCATTTTTTATTATAAATCTGCTGTTGTCCTTTATGTTCCTCTTGGGGATATGCGTAGCCTGTTTGATCCATATCCAGAACACACCTCTTTAAGCATTCAGCTGTGCCTCCTTATGGTTAGTAGATGTTGAGGTGCTGAAGAGGCAGTGCCGTTGAATCTGGATCTCATATAATGTTGACCTGTTCTCCCTAAAGAAGAGTGAATAAAGAATGCCAGCTCCAGAGAGAAGGACTGCTGGGGAAGCATATTAAATCAGATCTCTATGGTACCCATATCTATTTTACATATCCTAGACCTCTTTACTTCAGGCAAGCAAAATTGTAGGACCAATCAAGGTTGGATATTGGGCACAATAAGATTGATCCTTTGGGTTCCAAGATAAAAGCCCTAAAGTTCACAAAGATATGATTGGCTGATGTAACCCAACTGATACATTTGTACTCAGAAATAAGACACTATGAACTGAATGTGATTTAGGTATTCACACAGGCAAATGTATATAAGATTTCAATAATAAAATGTAGTTTAGGATAATTTTGACAGAATCTGGTGCATTTTAGAGATTGTAATCTATGCTTTCTCACTTATTATTCTAATGTTTTTGGTTTTCAGGTAGTGCAGTTGATTCGAAATCCAAAAGACGTTGCTGCATCTTTTTTCCATTTTTCAAACAACTTCAGTCCTTATCCTCCCTATGATACATTTGAAGAGTTCTTCCGAGCATTAATGATAGGAAAAAGTAGAATTTCCATATTTCTATTCATTCCGACTGTTTAATGCCTGTAGATATGAATAACATAGTTACTGTCTATCTCGATTATTGTATTGTATTGATTAGTGTATGCTTTGTTCAGACAAAGACACTTCAAATTCAGATTAATGATCTTAGCTTATTTGAATAAATCATTCAAACACGATGGCCAGTTTCCTTTTCAGATATAGCAACAAATAATAATTATTTGAAAAAAGAAGCAGATATTTGTCATTGCCTCAGCCCAGTGTTCTTCCCAGGGTTGTTATTGTAGGGAAAAATAGGAGGTGTACTATGTATGCTGCCTTGAGCTCCTGCACAAAAGGCAGAATATAAATCCAACTAATAAGTCAATAGACTAGCAGAGAAGTATATTCATTCATTCATTCATTCATTCATTCATTCATTCATTCATTCATTCATTCTGTATGCTGGCTTTTCTCCATTTGAGAGGCCCAGAGAAATAGATGTTTCCAAAATTGTAACTTAATTTTTCAAGGTGTTAACTTCTGGCAGCTATTGCAATTCCATGTAAAGCCCCTCTTATTTACAGGCCAAATAATAAAATAAATGACATATATTTATTATTTTGACTTAAATTGGGTTAAAAATATTTAGCAAAAAGAAGTTTATTATATCTTGAGGGTCTTATTTAGATGGAAGGTTTGGAAAAATATTAATATCAATTTTCCAGTTAAATTATATTGCTTGTATGTGTTTGTTTGTGCTCAGAATATAAACAATGTCATTACAGAGTAGCCATTATGATACATTGGCATCTATGCAAAAACTATAATTTCTGAGTTTCCCAAATGTAATATGATCACAAAATTAAAAAGTGACAATGATGATGTTAAATTTTATGAGATTTTCACATATAAACGGATTGCTATCTAGAACACAACACAGCAGATATAACTATAATTGAAAAGAGAAGAGTATTTTTTCTAGATAATGGCAATACTCAGAGACAGTAGAACTGAGGAAAAAAGATTGGAAAAGTTTATAAAATATAGAGATGAAATATAGAGATGAAACAAGTAGATAATGGAAAAGAACTTGCAAAGTCATCTCTACTGGTGCAAATGGATTAAACAAATGTTTATAAGAACTAAATATTTTGGCTACATCAATTGTGGATTTGCAAAAACACTACTTTGCTGGACACGTGCTATATCTTAGATAATTCCTAGGTTCCTGGTTAGAACTAAAATTTCCAAAGAACACCAGTCAAAATGTGATTATTTTTATTTGTTCTTTGACCACTTCGACCAGTTTGAATTTTCAGTGAGTCAGTGTCTGTCTGTCTGTTATCAATCTTGTTCTAATGTGATTTTGATCATTTTTTAAAAATTTCAATAGTGCCCTGGGGATCCTATATAGAGTACCTTTGTTCATGGAACAAGTATACCGATAAAGAAAATGTCCTGCCAATAACATATGAAGAGATAAAAGAGGTACAGTTAATATTGTTCAGATATGTGGACTTTTATCCCCATAAACAGCAATGAATGGAAA